CAAAAAAATCACCAGAATCTGAGTTTAAGGTTTACAATATTATGATGAAGCCAGTTCCGATACACGGCTGCGAAACATAGACACACCCTATATCACATATCCGAACCTTGGAAAAAGGAATTGTTAGATTTGAGAGTAAAATACATGATAACAAGATCGATCTGGAAAATTAAATTTTATTGTTTTAAGTAAATTCATAAATGTATTTGTTATGTTAAATATGCGGAATTATTATTTTGATTGAATATTATTTACTTTAAATAGGCGGAATCTCAGCTTATTTCGCAACAGATCTCAACTTAATTAAAATAATAAAATTAAAAATTCCTAATTTTCTAATTTCTGACCGTTTACCAAATGAACTTTATTTGTTGCTCTTGAGGTTTACGAATACTTATCTTTACTTAATTGGTTATTAAATATTTCATATATCTTTAAATAAAACTGGTATGTCATTCCACAAAAACTCAAGCATATAATTGATATAAATAAAAACAAACTTTATTTCTGGTTGCAATCATTCTTATAAAATAATATAATAATAGTTTTTGTTTTTCTATTGTTTTTTCGTAGTTTTGATCTCTTTAGTTGTTGATATATTACAGTCATAGAAATATTAATGACAGTATCAATAAAATATAGATTGAGTATTATTTTTTTATTTACTAATAATTCAAAATTTTATTCTTCAAAATGTTAATAAAATCCCAATACGTTATCTACAAAATAATATTTAAAAAACTTATTTCGTTTCATATGTTTGATAATTAATAGAGGACATGCAGTGATAAAATAAATGCGTATATATTACACAAATATCAGACCCAGAAAGAATTCTTTATTTCCAAACCATGTTTTGCCCACACTAACGTAAAATCGTCCTCATCAACTATTATAAACATATAAGCACTTTTATTTTTTTAATTTAAGTAATTATTGTTATTAACATCAAATTTATTGGTAGAGGTGCTTCAACACCTACAGGTAAACAATGCTCTCTTAAATATTTTAAACATTTTTTACGAATTGTGTAATTTAATAATAATATATAAACAAATCGTTGTTTATTAACATATATTTATCAATAACAAATATTATTACTTCTCTAAATAATATAATTGAATGATACAATCTTACTATTAGAATATATTGGAAGTCCATTGTCGCTCAGAACTCACAGACCGAAAACAAGGAACTGAATGGCCAGTGTAGATCGAAATGCAATCGATTATTTAGTCAGCAACCAGTAGGTAAATATTTTAGCCATTCCTATCTATTATTCAAAGCTACACATCAAGTTTTCTCTTTTAGGCAGAGTGTGGGCAAGTTTCTTAACTCTGCCCTGAGATCATTGATGGGCATCGCAAATTCATCTATGTATTAGTATTGAGTTTAGGAATTTACCCTAAGATCATGGAAAATACTATAAACATTGGACTAATTATTATCAAAATATATATATATATATATATATATATATATATATATATATATATATATATATATATATATATATATATATATATATATATATATATTTAGAACTTCATATTGTCAAGCCCTACAGGGAATAGCCTGCAACAGAAGCACGGACCGCAGTCATTGGCTGTAATTCACTAGGATGGCATCTTAACATCCTTAGGTAAATATTTGATTTATTGGAGAAAAGGTCCCCCTTAAATAGCTTCAAATTTCTTTTAATTGCCATAATACATTGAAATTGTATTGCCATAATACCATCATATCATTGAAAGCAAATTTCGCTTTTTAACTCAGGTTTGCTTCTGGACAAATGATTTTTGTCGGACATTTATAGATTTGTGTTTATAAAATGATTTTAATAGATTTATAAATGAAATAATAGTTGTTTAATAATTAGACATGTTATATACTCAAAAAATGAAAATAATATATTGTCTAGAATATTTAGACCCAAGAAAACTGAAACAATGTGTACATACCCACACCCACTACTACGTAATGCACGCATAATTAATTACTTCTATCCAATCATTTTACATGAACCAAAACCGGTATCGGCCATTCTCATTTAAGAGACAATTTTATAGAGAAAAAATGTGGAAACTAATGGAAAACTAAAGAATGGATGCGGAAAATAAATTAGTGATTTATATTGTGATACAAGTCAGAATTAAATTTTCTATCTTCCTCATCGGTTTCAGTCTACATATTAAATAGACCCCATTTAGATGTAATCGCTAAGTGGGATTTTGTTTGTGTTTGCTTTGTTTATTAAATAAGAATTCTTGCCAATAAATAAAAAACGTTGCAAAAATAAATTATGGTTTATTTACGGATATTTTTATATATATTCTTAATAATAGTCTATATGGATACTTTTTGTTGACTTATTTATGTTTATGCCTTCCGTATAATAATTTAATCGCCTGCTACTTAAAGGACGAAATGGCGAATGTTAATTTAACTTGTGTGGAAAATCTAAAAACAAATCGAACCAGAAGACTCGCAGAAAAACGCGGGCGGCAGATTTGAAAAACCCAATAACGGATGGTTAGAGATGGGCAATAGTCGATATTTTTCCACTATCGTTAGTTCGATAATATCGATCATAACTATCGATAGTTCAGTAACTTCTCGACACAGACTTAAAAAGAATTCATTTTCGCTGTATTCTTTAGTTATTTACTTTAAAATGCTGCATAAACTTTATAATAATTAACATTTATACCAGACCCATCCTTAAAGATTTATGTTAAGGCACTAATAAACATTATTAAATAAATAATGAAAAAAACTATTGACGGGAAAATATATTTATAGATAAAAATAAATTGCATTTATTTGCTTAATAGAAGAATTCAAACAAGAAATATTGACGACATATAGGTAGTATTTTCTTTAACTATTTAGTAAAAAAAGGAGGCGAGAAATGCTTAGGTCTTTTAATTTCCAAGATTCTAGTTTTCTAAATTTATTTTTATAATAGTACCTAGTTTAAAATATAATAAAACTGTAATGGCATCCTTGTAGACTTTATAAATAGATATTTTTTTATAGAAAAAAATAAATAAAAAAGGTGGGGTAAATGTAATTTTTTTTCCATCAATCAAGAAAGTAATTTGAGATTAAATTATTTGTTTACCATGAAGGCTTCTTGTTGTTCAACTTTGTTTCAGTTTTATATATTGATAAGAATATAGTCCGTGGTACAGCCCCTTTCCATGAAGTTATTAACATGCGCCTAAAACTTCGTGAGTGGTTTCATTTTGTCGTAATCTACAAATAATTTATTTAAGAAAATTCTCGGAATTAGGAAGTTTGGCGTGACCTACAACCACAACATGCCGTCATAACGACGCTGTGAAAATGTATGAACATCCGGCTGATTTTCTCGTTAATGGTTAATAAAGATGAGTACAATCAAATTACCATAGTGGCCTACAACAATATTGGGACGTTTAGCGTGATCTACAATCTCAACATGTCGTCAGAACAACTTTGTGAAAATTTATGAACATTCCGCTGATTTACAGATTAAGGTTAATAAAGATGAGTACAAACAAATGTTCATAGTGGCCTGCAACAATATTGGGGCGCTTTCGAAAAAAATATATATATCTACGTGTTTATTACATTAACTTTCCTAAGCAGAGGGAACATCAAATAAAAAAATAAAAAAACGTAATAACTAGTAAAAATTTCTGCAGATTCCCGATCGAGTTTTTATGTGGGGAAAGAAAGAACGACAATCACCGATTTTGTTTTTCAGTTTTTTTAAATATTTCATCAACTATGATATCATTATCATATCAAGTATCATTCTATACAAAATTTAAGTACTTCAAAATCTCAATAAAAATTGTTTGATACATTTCTTTGATAAAATCAATGGTTACGGAAATTAAAGAGACAAAATTAGTGGAATTACACTTCCAGTAAAAATTGCTTCAAACATTATAAAATCGCTATTTCCAATGGACATGATGCCGATTTAAGGTTGAATTTGTTTTATTAACTTTTCCAAGCATTTAAAAACATATCCTAATCAAATGCTCTTTGTTACAATAATTTTAATAACCAATAATAAATTATCGTGACTCAAGAAAATAAATAGAAGAGATATTAATTGTCAATTAGTCTCATATATGCATCTTCAAATGCACATTATTTGATAATTAATACCTTTCCACGTTTTATTCTAGAGCTTGTGATATTAAAGAACAATAAACAAATTTTCTACTCCTGTGTTACCCCATTCTCCAGTTCACCACCGAAATATAACGATGATTTATACAATGTTTATACTAATTTCATAAACAACAAATTAATTGAAAGCCAATAGCAATTTTAACATTACTACTTCTAAAAATATTTTTTAGTGATTGATGTCAAATAACTGATTTAATTTTGAGTTTCTACAATTTATTATTGTTTTTTAGAATCATTAAACCAAAGAGGGTTTGATAAAAAAAAAAAACATACACCTCAATACTTTCTTTTTATTATTATTAATTTTTTTTGTTTCGTACATTTAATAACGAATTATAAGAACATTGTTTATAATATCGACTATTTATGACTGGAGATTAAAACATCGTTAACATATATAGTTTGTGAACATTTTACGTTATTTGAGTCTTGATTGAAAAATATAGAATATATTCCCTGCTTAGTATTTAATATAAAATTACATATTTTTGTAGTTATATTTCCTTCTATTAATTTAGATCACATTAAATCGTTTACACATTAATTTTTTTAGATATTCTTTTTTTAGTTGCTTTTGTTAAAATAAAAGTGAAATCAGTCATCAGCTGTTCTTTTAACTTCTTAATATTAATTTGAAGTTAAATTCTTTAATATGGAGTGCTTTTTGTGTAAATCTTTGAGTGAAAAGTTCGGATTTCGAGAAAAAAAACTCAGTTTCTATTCTCTGTTAACAGCTTTAACAGAGAATAGAAACTGGGCGGCCTCACATCCAAATTAAAGCACTCTATTGGTGGTAACGAATCCTGAGGATGCCAAATGATGACTTACACAATAACTGTTACCTCACCTTCATTAAGGCTGCCAAACTCTACAAGCTCACTTTCAACTGGGCAACAGAGCAACAAAAAACTGAAGATTTATTGAATTTTGGAAAGCCTGTGAAAAAATAGTCCATCCTATCAAAGGAAGATTTGAATGGGATTATTGAGAAATCCCAGACCTATTGGCTGTATAAAGCCTAGGAGTTCATCTTGAACAACTCATTGAGTCACATATAAAGACATTTAAGTTCTTTTGGTGATGATGAATCTTATTTAAATATAAAGACACCAATAGCATAAAACAGACTGATTTCTGAAATAAGTGCGTGCAATGTACAATCTGATAAGTGTAAAAAAAAGGGGCATGTATCCAAAATTTATTTTGACAAAAAAGTCATTGCCTTCAAGCCAGAAGATACTATCCACTGTGCAAAAAAAAAGAAGTGATACAATTGATCATCTCCTTAGCTGTTTCCCTGTTTTCAATTGCATAAGTAAGCTTTTAGGTAGCACAGAACTATATATGAATTGTGTGGAAGCCAATTTAAGAATAGAAAGTATATAAAATTTATCAGTATTGCTATCGTGATCTTAAATTAAGGAACATTTTATTAGGCTGAGGAAAAATGTCGGAAGAGAAACCCTATAAAATGTTTTTGCTATTACAGGTTGGTGGAAGACAATATGTTCGATTTAACTTACAAGTAAATAGTAAATTTTTGTGAAATATTGCATCAAACAACTTTTACTAACCACCTTACCTTTAATATAACTTAATTGTTTTTAAATCTATTAGACTTTAAATATATTGCTTTATTTATAAATATAAACTTAAAATAATTAATGAGAATTACGACAATTCTGTGCATTACATATTTTTGTTTTATCAAGCTAAAAAAATTAGGTTTTTCATTTAATTTCTTTTACAATTCCTTTTGATTTATATGGAGATGGTTATTTCTAATTCAATAATATAGAAGTAGAAATTACTATGATTGGAAATCATTTGTTTTTTATCACATTCCATTACCTTCTTCAACCTTATATGTTAGATATTCATTTTTCGAAAATCTTTTGCTTTCCAATCATATAACACGCCTCTTTATTACTACTTTAGTTGCCAGAAATTTGTTTTCAATCAGTGAAAATTTTACCTTCCATTTTTCCTTTAATTAATTTTCAAATTCTTTTATAGCTCATAATTAACCAGTTAGTATTTCTATCAATGAAAGAGGACCATAAATTATTCCTAATAAATAAAATTAAAGGTATATTAGCGGGGAAAAATTTGAGACTTTGGCACTTATGTCCTACCACACTATTTCAGTGAAGTTTAATACCTACATGATATATAAAAAAAAAAAAAATTTAATATTGTATCAATATAATCACAGGATGAATACCAGGTCTACAAGAGGCAGAGGAAAATGGTGAAATCAATGGTCATCCAAGCCAAAAGAGACTCCTAGGAGAAATTCGGAGAGATGAAAGAAAACTTATGGGGCAACCAAAAGATATTTTATCAGACCTTCCCTCCCTCAGGAAGGGAAAAGAGCCTATACTGGAGTTTATAAAAGATAAGAAAGATACAATCCAGTTAGACCTAGAAAAGGTCATGGAAAAGTGGAAAGAGTATTTCAGTGAGCTGCTAGAATCGGATATAAAGAGGACAGATCAAGAACAGTAACCTTGAAACATTTACCGAGGATGAAACCCTGGAAGAGGATGATTATTTGGATGAAGATGAAATTTTGGAAGCTGTAGCCACACTAAAGATGGGAAAGATGGCAGAAGATGGCATTACACCAGAGATGATCAAGAAACTGGGAAACTAAGGAATGAAAATGCTGCATAGAAACATGCATGCAGTCTAGCCCATATTAACATGAAAATAAGCACAGTAAAGTCTAAGCTGCTGAAAATAGGAAAAACTCAAATCCCTGTAGACCAAATAATCAGGCTAGAAGGGCAAGAGCTGGAGGCAGTGAAAACATTCAAATAATTTGGAGCACACCAACATGAGCGAGGCATCATAGACTGGGAAATAAGGGACAGAATGGCTGCAGCAGGAAGGTTTAATGCTCTCTAATGATAAAGATTATTTAATGCTCTGCAAAATTCCTTTGTCGGGAAACTTGAGCCAACTCCATGCCATGGAAATAAGATTTATCCAGAACCTTGGAGGAGAATAATTTGTGATGGTTTGGACATGTCTTGTGGATGCTAGGTAAGAAAATAGCTAGGCTGATCTATGACTTGAAAGTGGATGGAAGGAACCGAGGATACTCCAGGAAAATCTGGCAGGAAGGTGTTAGGGAGGCATTTGTGGCCAGGATTCTGGATTGGAAAAGGAGAAGGGAGCTGGGAAAGGACCGAGTACTATGGATCAAGCAGTACAGAAAGAATCCTCACACTGCACCAGGTGGTAGATGAGGAGCGGATTAAATAAGTATCAATATGAAAAATGGGTGTAATAATCCTGCAATTTATCACTCTAAAACCTTTACTCTACCCTACTCTCAATATGAAAAATTGCAAAAATGTGTATAATCGATGATAATAAAGTACCATTTCCGGTTATTTGATTTTTATGAAGTCATCATAACATCCTAGGCTTATATCTACATCAAATATGTAATTTCAGTTTCATATGACTTTTTGTTTTTGAGGTAGAATGTTCCTATAAACAAAGAAATAAACATGAACCTTTTTATGAGACTTGGTTGATTAGACATAGAAGCTCTTAAAGCATGTATTTCTGTTAAAAATCTAGATTTACAATTTTTCATGAAACAATACTTTCCCTTACGATAGTTCATTTAAAAAATGTGTATCATGATAGATATCTTTTATATATACTACAGTTGTTGGCAATGGCATTTAGCACATCTAAAATTGTTTAATCCATTATTTTACTTTAGATCCTTAGTCCATTATTGGTATTCTGTCTTTAATCGGAAAATTGCATACACATAGCCTTGAGTACCAGAATTAACTCATGTTGTATGTACGTAATAGGTAGGAAAACAATTAGCCAATTAACATGCCTGAATAGGCATCAACAGGACTAAAACTAGATATCTACTAGAGTTAGTGAATCACTCCATTGCACCTAAACACATACACCTTTGTTTAAAAAGCATATGTTTTGGATGTTGGAGTGATAAATGGTGACTTTTTGATTTGTATTTTTGGGCTGTTGATCAGATATATTGATGAGTTAATTGTTCGCTTGCATTTTAGAGGTTCTAAATTTTGTGTTTAAGATCTTCCAAATATATCCTAAAATAAATAAATGTATTTATTTGGGATACAATTTGATAAGATATTTTGGAGTACAAGTTATTTTATATAATTTTTTCACAAACAATAATTTATAAAATTTAAAAAATAAGTCCAATACAGAAATATATAGATTTTAAAAAAAATATCAAGTAAATAAGATTTTTATAGCATACAGTTTGATACATTCTTCATTTTATCGAATTTTTTATGTTTTCTTTCTTGAAAATTAATCTTGAATTTTTATTTATGGTCACCTGAAATGCTTCTAGAAGTAATTTTTTGAGTTCTGTCTATAAATAAAGTAATTTCAAATATACTTAAAGAATTTTATTTTTATGAAAATAAATAATTTTGCTTATAAGCACACAGATTAAAAAATTAGAAACTAAGTTAATGGATTGTTGCATTATTTGGTATTGAAATAATACCATTTTATTAAAAAAAAATAAAATTAGAAAAAGTTTGGCAGCTATTCATACCCGAATATTAGTTTGTTTTAAGCAAGAACAGGTTTGATGTTGTCCTAAACTGTTAGCACTTTCAAAGTAAAGAAACTTTAAGGAGGCCAGGCACTAGTACGCATCTCATGAGAAATTATTCATTTTCCTCACAAGGTATTTTTTATTTTTATTTGTTTATACTATTTTAATCAGTGTATATAAGAAGACATATTTATTACATCTTTATTTCGATTGAAAATTGATATGACATGTTCATACAAATATAAAAAACCAAAATTATTTTTCATTATAAAGTTTCATGGTAATTACTCAATGATATGATACCTGTTTATATGCCCAAGTTGAAGGTTTCTTGGCACTCATTGACACAAACTGTAATGAAGACTGCCAAACTATTGAGTACATGATTGAATTAATAATTAACCATCACAATTCATATGTACCACAATTTAATAGCGTTATATTAAAAAATAATGTTTCTATTATTAAAATTAAAATATATTCAGTTTTTATTAATGGATATAATATTTAAATTTTAAAATATATACATTATAAAATTTTTGATATAAAGAAAAGAAAACAAATGAAGAGTAATATTAATTTTTTTTTTCCTATTAAATACTCTTTTCAGAAATTATAATAAGCTTTGAAAATTTAAACAATTTAAATTTGACTTCATTAACAGCTGACAATAAAGCACATCAGAGATTTATATTTTGAATTCCAGATGAGATTAGTTTTGAATTCCACTACTTATTATTCACTTTGAAATGTAAGATATAAAGTTTTCATTATTTATGGAATGAGCTTATATTTTTGAATTTCCACAAATCATATTTTTTCAGGAAATAGGAATTCTAATAATAAAAACCATACAATATAAAAAAATAAAATTTTAGTTAATAATTTAATAAATTGTGAAGCTTGTTTTCTTCCTAACAAATTACTATAAAAATTTTAACAAAATTTTGAATTTTTACAAAGAAAAAATCCACCAGCTTATGATTAATACCATATTTTACATTTTTGAATAAGATTGAACACTACTCTGATATATAATAAATTTATACACCCAAAAGATGTTAGATGTAACCTTGCTCCAAAATAAAAAAAAATAAATTTTTTTTAGATACTTCTTATGAATATTAATCTCACATACCTTTATTAAATAAGTATAAATTATTTTTTTAAAGAATCTGTAGTTAAATAATTGAATCGGTTATTTCAGATATACACATGAGACATTTTCATTATTTTGAGAACACAATTTACTGCATAACAGTGAAATATTAAAAGATAAAAATCTACAGAAAATATATAAAGTTAACAATCAACTTTTATCTCATTTATACCATTTTATCAGTTTTTTAGAACATACCTTACATACCTTCAAACATAGAACATAAAAATTTTGAGGGGAGTAAGAATTTTTTTCTCTCTCTCAAAATGCTTTGAATTAATTTTTTCAAAGAATCTGTTATAGAATATATGTTTAATTTTGCACTAAAAAAATGCATCTATGATTGATGTATTCAAATGAAAATTTTATTGTTATAATGACAATTTTTTTATCTCTGAAATAAATGATTCAATTGTACATTTTTATTTTAAAATATTTTGAATCTATTTCAAAAAGTTATTAACATTTTATAAAATTAATTCACTAAGTATTATGATGAATTTTCTCTCTCTTTTCTTCACGAGATTTTAAGATAAAAAAGTAAGTTAATTTTCATAAATAGCTAAATATATTTTCAAAAATATGAGGAATCGTGAATGAAATTTTCATTTGAATAATTAATTGGTCGATGTATTAAATCCATATCCAAATATATAAAACATGTATATTCTAAAAAATGAAGTATTATATTTTCTGAGGGCTAATACAGAAATATTGATAGTTACGTGACATTCATAGCAATAGCTTAAGGCTTTGTACTCAGTCAAGGAAATGTGAAGAGTTTATTTATTTACTTACTAACAGTATTTTATTTCTTTTAATTTTGTTGTTACATCTTAGTAACCGGCATTGGTTTTGTTAAGTTTATCATATAAATTCAAATATTTTGGTGGTACTTTTCAACATATTAATAAAATGCTTTTCTTGAAGCAATTTTTTTTTTTTTTTTTTTAGAAAAAAAAATTTATTCTGGGACTAAGTCCCTTCAGAATAACAATAATGTACAAAATAATAGAATATTACTGGCCTGAACGTTGAAACAATAAATAAAATTGATAAAATAAAATAAAAAGTAAAGAAAATTTTAGGTGCACAAGCTATATACAATACAGATAAAACTATATACAGAGCATTTAAAATTATGAACAAAACAATTAAAACTATGAACGAATCACTTGAACTATGAACAAAATTATATTTAAGGGTTGAACAACATAAACATACACTTTGAGAAATGAAGAACGAAAAAGAGATACAATGAGTTCATTTCATAGAAAAAAAAAAAAAAAAAAAAAAAAAACTTTACTTGAATATATATATATATATATATATAAATAAACAATTACTTATAATTGAATAAAAAAAAATGTATGTATTGAAATTCCTACGTCGATAGTAGGAAATGCATGTACTATCTCTTACCAAGTGTTATGATTATATGATTGCTACACAATACATATATAATATTAATAATTAGCTGGTATCTGACTGTTTTTGGAACAGGAATTGGAATAGGAGGTTTTTGAATGTGTACAGGGAAGGGACATGTCGAATTTTGATCGGGAGGGAATTCCAAAAGTTGACAGAGCGGGCTATAAAGGAATTTTCGAATGAGGCAGATCTATGAGAAGGGATGTTTAGGTCAGAGGGTCGGGATCTTGTAGTGAGTGAATGGATTGAGGACTTAAATTGGAGAAGGTTGTAGGCATAAGAAGGACGATGATCGGTAATGATTTGATAAAGGAAAGTGCCAAGGAAATATTGTCTTCTTAAGGAGGGGAAGAGCCACCCTAACTCAGTGTAGTGGTGGGAGACACGGGAGCGTCTCGGGGTTCCAGTTACAAATCTTACGAAGCAATTCATAAGTCTTTTGAGATTTTGGACTTGATGTAGAGGAAAATAGTTGGATAAGGAAAGTATTTCTAATAAATGAAACTGTATACTTTTGCTGATTACATGGATTCTAAAATTCATTGTAATTTATTCTCAATATGATACGTTTAATTATCAGTCCTAAATTTAATTATTAGGAAAACATAAAATTTTTCAATATTATCAAAATCTAATTATCAATATTATTGGTTGAATATAATGAATCTAAGAGAAGAGAGTGTGAATTTTCTTCCTCTTGGGATAAATTTTTTATTACTTATAACATATTCAAAGTTTCGGGGCTCTCTCCATCTTCAGAAGTATACTTACTTACTCTGCAGCTCTACAGCCCGGGAAGGGCCTTGCCTTACCTTACAATTTAATTCCATTCCATAATTTATTATGTCTTCTTTTTCCACAGTCTTGCACCTAACTTCTTGAGATCCTCTTCTATGTCCTGGATCCATCATCTGCCTTGCCGACCAACTCTTCTTTTCTCAGACTAATATTCATCAAAGTGATGAGGGTCTAAGTTGCAGCACCATAAAAAGAACTATTCTTGCAATGGTCTTATATAAACACATTATTGTCTGATGTGATAACAGTGACGATCTGAAAAGTTTGATATTTGCATGGTATTCTCAATTGCCTTCCTTAATCCTTCTATTCACCTTATTTCATTTCCCTGACGTAATTACGCTCACAGAGAGATGAAACTGCTCTCCCTTTCAAATTTACATCCATCTATAGTTAGTACATCAGTATTTTGCCCTGGCCCTCCAACCTTCATATATTTTGTCTTCTTTTCATTAATTCGGAGTATCTTATCTTTCTTTACTAATTTGCAGAAATATTATAATTGATTCAATTAATTTGTTGGGAATGTGAAATCCTTGTAATGCATTAATCAGACTTATTCCATTGGCAGTGTCAAAAGCTTAACAATGATCAATAAATAGTATGACTAAACCTATTTTATATTTCCAATATTTCCCAAAGAGTTGTGTCATTTCAAAGATCTGGTCAGTTTTACCCCTCCCTCTACGAAAGCCACATTCATAATCAAACAGTATGTTTTCGGCGTTAATGCTTAATTCTATTATTGAAGGAAAGATTGGTTGGAGTGTTCAGGTTGTAAATTAATGTTTGTAATTTATTTTTTACTGAACACACAACCAACACACAAACAACAACCAAACACACAATCATTATTACATACATATATTTTACTATAATAATCTATCTTAAGATTTATATAATTTTATTATTATCATAATAATAATTTATAATTTTAAATTTGATGTTATATTTGAAAAATGACCTTTTGTTCCTAAAAATTAGTCATATGAGTAAAATCCATAATTCATTATGTTGTCATGTTTTTAAATATTTTTTTTACAATTGTTCTATTTAGCAACATCCTAATTGTTCTCCCATTGTTACAGAATAAATCAGATTTTTTTTTTTCAAAATGCAATGTATACCAAATCTCACAGAGAAAATTAAAAAATCATGACTCATCAAATATAACTTTAGGTATTCACAATTACAAAAGCAAAATACAAAACCACTTATCTGCGTTGAACTTAGAACTAACATACTTATTACGTTGACACCAGATTATATAAGTAATAAGATATTTACCACAGAAGAAAGAATTGAATACATTTTTTTGTAAGCCATAGAGAAATTAGAATCATCCTTTCTGCATAGAGTAATTTATCAAAAAATGGAAATAGAGAAGTTTTTAAGCTTTTCAACTGGAAGTTTTTTATCATTCTTTTTGTTACATGCTATAATACGTTTGGATATAAAAAGAAAGTTGAAAAGTAAAATAACTAATATTAAATAACACAGTTTGGGCAGAAATTTAATTTAAATGACTAAGTTATAAATTTCCTGTCCAAAGAAAATCTTATAAAGTATATTTAACAAATTGAAAACTAATGATCCTCTGCGACTTCTTTATCTTTTTTATGCATACCTTTTCTTTAATTAATTTTCTTTTAATTTATTTTATTTTATTATTACTTGTTTTATATTTTAACTTACCACCTAAATACTTTTAAAATAGTATTATTTAGTTGATTGGGTGCTAATGACTAGGGTGTTTTGCACCTAAACATCAAAACAACCAACAAAGCTTAAATGATATTTTAACAAATATTTGAAATAAAATAAAAAATGAAAATAATAACTCTACAAGAAATTCATTGATTAAATATTTGTTTACTCGGTTAAAAATCTGAATTGTTTATTAAAATATTTTATCAAGATGATTTTTTACATTTTTGGAGGAGAGTTCGAGCTCTATGAAGCCATCTCTTGTTTCCAACATTCACAATTCCGCAATGCTGCTAATTGTGACACTAATAAAATTAGTTATGAAGATTTTTTCCAAAATACTTATCCGATAATTTACTTCATAACCAATAAATTAAGCTGGTTTCCAACTACACTTCCCAATCTAATTCCAATAAATCTTTCAGCCACCTGAAAAGAATACAGCCCTGTGATTTTTTAAAGTAAAACTGCAGCTGAGATGCAACCATTGAGCAGTTTACCCACAATCCACATTAATGTGACAGAGAATTTTTCTTGTATTGTGTGTACAGTTATAAATATCAATAATTTTTTTTTTTAAATGCTACTGTCTGTGATAAATTATTTGCAATCCCCATTAATTAAATTATATTGTTGCACTGTGACAGTGGTTTCCTTTTTAAGTTTCTGAAATTCATCAGATATAAGTTTGTGTACATGTTCCTTAACAGCTTGTATATCATTACTCGTTAATCCTTCTGTTGAGATAGGTTCCAGTACTGATATTATAATTTTTCCTAAAATAAAAAATTAGTATTTATAATTGATATACTTTTTAATATTTAAATATGGTTTAATAAATACAATTTAAAATGCTAATATATAAGTTGTGAGTTAATTAGATATTTTAAAGATAAGCTTAGAATTATAAATTAATACTTATATTAATGAGAAAAAAATAGAAGTACACACAAAAAAATTCCCTAAAGTTTGACCTAAGTTTAAAAGCATACTAAAGCAAATAAAAATATGCAATAGTATGAAAGTGGTAATGATAAATCAAATTTGTATGTACATATAAATAATGAAAAAAATATATAAATAAATACTAAGATGTGATTGAAAATTACATTTTGTAAGATAAAGGTGAGACATAATAATATATATGAGATATTACGAGGTGTGGTGCATAATAAAAAACTGAAACGTAAGAGAATAATAAATAATATGATAATATATGATAAAGTACACTAGTTAACAATAAGTAATAAAAAAAGAAAAATTATAATAATTACCTAAAAATATCTGATAAATACAAAAATATAAGAAGTTATAAAGTAATCTTAACGTAATAATGAAATACCAAAGAATGAAATCAAATATTAAGCAATATAAATAAAAAGAATAACCAGGAAAATAAAATTAATTATCCTTTTCATACGTATCTAAGGATAGTATCTTTCGAGGATTTTATCATCTTCTGCAAGATTTTCTTTTGTTTTGTATTTTTTCGCATAAGTGTCATTTAGATAATGTTTTCTCCTCATTATTTACCATCCATATTTCTTATACTATTTCTGTCCTTTAAAATTAAATACATAATGAGGAAATATTGTACTACTTTATTATTTTACAAAAGATTTTTTTGGTGGATAAATTATTTAATAGAGCAACTTTTTCTCTTTAAGTATAGGTATAGATTTTGATATAAAGGCTACCTATAAGGAATATGCATAATAAATAATATGTATATCATTAGTTTTGAATTTTTTTGTATTTAGATTAAAAGGGTCATTTAGGTAATTTTTCTTCTCATTATTTATCATCCATATTCCTTATACTTCTGTATTTAAAAAAACTACATACTTAATGAAGAAAAATTGCACAAATACATTACTTCAGAAAAGGTTTTGTGATGGTCAAATAATTTAATAGAACAATAGAACATGATTTCTCTTTAAGTAATTAGTTTTTAAAATACAAACTAAGTAGAAGGACTATATATAGTATATATAATAATAATAAGTATAATAATAATATATATACAGTATATGTATATAGGAATACAGTATATGTATATACTAAATATATATATATATATATATATATATATATATATATATATATATATAATAAGGAGGAAATAAACCTAATGACCACTGTAAACATGAATCAGAGAAAATACAGAGAACAAAATATGCTTGGTAAGGATGAAAATTCCCGAACTCTTGGTTACTTTTGTAAGGAATATAGTATATGTATATACTAAAAAAATAGCAAAAACATAAAATAATTTTCATACAAGATAATGAGTTCTTAATAACTTATACATACACTTTAATAAATCTAAAGCTTCCAAATTTATCTTAAAAATAATAACAAGTATTAGTAGTATTGTTAAACAAAAAAAAGGGTGGAATTGTTTACTCAAAACATAAGGCCGCTTGTTCCATCTTATTCTCATACTGACCTTAGCTTGGAATGAGACCAATTGTTCCACTCCGAACCATTCCAAAGGTGTAATGGTTTCCTGGAACAATTCAAGACCATCATTCAGTTCCATTCTCATTCGGAGACTGCTCGTTCCGGTCCATTCCCATTCTGTCTATTGCTTGGAATGAGCCTTTTCATTCCATTCTTTCTTCATTCTGGTCCATTCCCATTCCGTCTATTGCTTGGAATGAGACTGTTCATTCCATTCCTTCTTCGTTCCGTTCCTAAAATGTGGAAGGGAAAAAAAATTGACACTAATTTATCACACCCACATTATAAATTGATTATAAAAAAAACATGATTTTAACATTAAATTTTTTAAACAATATCGATTTATCTTATCTCTTACTACATATAGATGGTATGTAGTAAAAAAAACTAAAATCAAATGTGATATATGAAGGTTTTTAATTCCAAATAATTTGTGAAACTTCTAATGATCTAAAATCTTCCACAGAAAATTTCAATTGCATATCATAATCACAATTTTTATTTAGTTATGTAAATTAATTTGGTTAAAGTAATTATGGATCTAAGCACTACAAGGCAAATTCTGAATTTGAAAATTCCACACTGGAATTGTGTATGAGATACACACCGAAAAATCTTTTGCTGACATAATAAGAAATAATAGAGTTAAATATATTATGAAGAAATATTTTAGGCCAACGCCTTAAGACAGAAACTCTTACAGTTTGATTGGAATGTTCTACCTCATCCACCATACTCACGCGACTTGCCCCATCTGATCTTGCTTTTTTCTTAATGTGATAAATTTTACAAATTTGTAAGTGAAATAAAAATGCATCTCGATGAATATTTTGTAAGTAAATCTCAATAATTTAGGAATAGAGAATAATGAGCCTTCCTGAGAGATGGAGGAAGGAGATAAACCAGAGTTGTTCATATATAACACAGTAAATCAACCTTAAACGATAAATAATGAAAAAGGAAGAAACTTATGGGACACCCTAATAACCGCATACAGGGACATTCCTCTACTGCATACATTAAGGAAGTCAAATTCTGTTTAGGTTATCATGGGAAAGCTTAATTTTTACAAAAGGTACAGCCTAAAAGAATACTCTTCATTGGAGGGCAAGATCCAAATAGAATCAATTGGGTCACTGCAACAGACTCCCAGCCAGTGGCAGATCCAGGAATTTTCTCAAGGAGAGGGGGGAGGGGTTGAGCACCTCTATACCAGGTGCTTCCCCACCTCTATCCACTTGCCCACTACTACCCATCTCTCCCCCTCCATAAGTGAGTTTAGCCATTTAAAAGTCTTCTTTAAATGGTTTTAACAAAAGCAAATTCTATTTTTTATTTAAAATAAATTCTTTCTAGTTTAAAGGGAATCAATCGTTAATTACTTAAATTAAATAGTTTTTTTTGTTATCACTTCCTATTCAACAAAAAATATGGCTTATATGAAAAATCACAAAACTTCAATTCCCTACTTTTCTGCTGAAAATCTAACCATTGTTTATATACACTTTTTGGTATTTGTTGAGTATGACTGTCACTCCTTAAAATATTTCCCTCTACTTACGAGACACCCTGTATATGGGTTTAGACATGTAAAAAACTGGACTGCTATTGTATTTTGTCACTTTTTTCCACCAGCTAAGGGAGCACGATCCCCCTGGCAGAATTAGCTAGTGCTGGTCACGATTTAATATAGATTTGTTTTTTTTCTTACATTAGAAAATTCGTGCATGAAAATGAATTTTTCCTACATTTCTCTTTTCTTTAAATAGGTATTTTTGTCACTTTTTCGGAATTGTCATTTTTGTCACTTTTTGGGAGGGCGCGCCTCCCTAGTGCTGGTCGCTGGTCACCATAATATTTTTTTATTTATTCATGATATTTACAACTGTATTAATAAATAAAATACATTAAGTAAATTAATTTTTTTTTCTTAATATTTCATTAGGATATTCATCGTCTATGAGGATGAATTTTCCCTATATTTCCCTTTTGTTTAAATAGCTGGGTTTTGAAATTTTTTTTCCGGTTTCCTGGGGGGGGAGGGGGGGCGCCTCCCGCGTTCCTCGGCTGGATCCGCTAGTTCTCCCAGAGTATCTTAGTGACCAAAGACAAAAAACAAAAAATCAATGACTAAGTAATTTCTTAATTAGGGAAATACTAATTATGTGGTAAACGATAAAAAGAGAAAAATAAATACCATAAAATATCTCAAATCAGAGATATTTATTTGAATAGAGATATAATAAAAAATTTAAAAAAATTAGAAAACAGTTATTTTAATCTGTATGCTTTACGATCAATTTTCTAAAACAGACGATAATTCAGAACGGTTATTACACGAAACCACTTGTGGAACTCAGGCTGTCTAGTTTACGACTCCCTCCTCTCGCCACCCACCCTCCATGAATAGTCTAAAGTAATAACATCATCACACGAGAGGAGACCGACGAGGAGAAAAAGACACCTAAGACCTAAGGACCAAGAAGAAAAAGCGGTCTCGGCTTCAGCTCAATAAAAATGGAGAAGAAACGGAAAAACAAGGATAAAATGCTGAAAGTACGAACAAGACCTGCTCACCCAGATGCTTTGATGGTCACAGTAAAGGATAGCTCGACGTACGCGGATATGCTGCGCACAATAAAAAGGGATCCTGATCTGCAAGACATAGGCGATAATGTTCAAAAAATAAGGAAGTGCAATAGCAAAAGAATGGCTGGCAAAGCGGAGGTACCGTGCAAGAGAGATTGCTGTTGCTTTTGAATTGAAGGCCTTGATGAACTGACTATGGCTGAAGAAGAGCACAAGCTCTTTAAAATCAAATTGAAGGTGCTGAAATATTGATATTTCCGCTTTAAAGTCACTTCGAAAGGCTTGCGGTGCCACGCAGGCAGCAGTAGTCCTATTGCCTATAGATCTAGCAAGAAAAGCTATGAAAAAGGGGAACATCCGAGTTGGGTACTTGTCCAATAGTAGGCATAGACGAAACCTCCCTAGTTATCTTTGTTACATCACATAACCTTCCTCTTCTTATCTCGTCAAAATTTTCAGTAATTACACTGTTTATTTTGCAGTTATTACATTCAGTTATTCACTTATTAAATTCAGTTATTACATTCTTTATTTTTGTCCCGTTTGTGTTATTTTCGTCAAATTATGGATCTTATTACATTCTAGGAATCACCGCCTTCTCAAGAAGAGGCTATTGAATATTTTCAAAACGCTGGGATAATTGCAAACGTGAAATTGTGTGAAGAAGGTCATCAAATGAAGTTAGACAGGAATGCGAAATGGAGATGCTTTCCTACCACTTGTA